AAAGAAGGAAAATTGCACAAAAAGTAAAAAGAATATTTATCGTAATTTATCATTACTTATTAGAGGGATAATCCCCAGAAAATTTTTGAAACTTGAGACCCGGAAATGCTATTTCCTGCATTTTGAGCATCCAAAAAATAAAAAATTATTAACAAAAGTTTATCATTACTTAGTGGTAGAAAAACGTAACAATTTAAATCGATTTTGTTAAACAAGGACAAAGGATAAAGCCTAAAACTTACTTTCCATTTATCTATTTGTTAATCTTCGCTGGTTTGTTTGTATAATTTTAGGAAAAAGGGACTTTTTCTGGGGGGGCAAAATGTGATTTCGTGGGGGGCACAAGGGGGGACTGGGGGGGGACATTTGCCCCCCAGCTTGTATGTTAAAAAAGACCCTGCTCCAGCCCCAGGTCTATAAATGATAATAGTACAATTGCACTCGCAAGAGTGCAACATAAACAGCCAATTAGACGATCAGAATTCAATAAGGTATTATATAATCTATGTTGACTAACATAGATAATGAGTGATATTGTTATTTTAATGAGTTGCAAAGTCATCTTCCCTTCGATAGGCTATGGTTTATGTAACAGGTGATAAATACTATTACTAATATGAACTCTGGATTTATCATGTTCAACTAAGGGGCCCCATTAGAAAAATGGGGAGAGGGGGCTTTTTTAACTTATACAAATGCTTTTTAAAATTTTTTGCTTGTTTTTATCTATAATTTTTTTTGAGGAATAAGCCTGGGAACGAGGTTGATTGGGTAGTAACCTTGATAGTGTTTTATTAGCAAAATATTATGACAATTTTAATTTTCAAAATCGCACCCCATACCGTACCGCTTTGGTTCTTTTGTGGCCCAAAAATAACATTTCAGCTGATGCATGCGAAGACACTTCCGAAATTTCAGAGTTATCGATCTTAACGTTCAAACAAGGGGAAGTGTCTTGACCCAACTTCTTCGCAATGCGTTTCCCAGTAATGAGCAGCAATTTCGTCCTTCCCGTGTTTATAAACATTCTGTTATTAGTCGCCCATTCACTTAAAGCTTCAAGATAATTCTTTAAATGCTGAGTTAAGGACTGGATATTTGAATAATGCGCACTTGCTGTAATTGTTGTATCATCTGCGAAAATATCCGTAGATGAAGTTGATAGGTGAAGAGTAATATCATTCACAGAGAACAAAAACAAAATTGGACCTAACACAGAACCCTGAGGTACCCCTTGCTTTACTGGTAGAGAGTCCGACCTTTCACCATGGATAATTACAAACTGTTGTCTGTCTGTGACGTATGTATGACTGGAACCAAGACAGTGCTCCATAAAGACGAAGCTTTGTTAACAGAAGATGATGGTCTACCACATCGAAGGCTTTTTTAAAATCTCCAGATCGAATAAGATTTGGTCTGTAAGTTTGATTAAAGCAGTTTCTGTAAAATGCCCCTCACGGAACCCGGACTGTAGATCGTAAAGCAGCCCATTTGTTACCAGGTAATCCATGAACGAAACAGCCACATGTTTCTCTAGCAGTTTGGACAACACAGAAAGCACAGAAATTGGCCTGTAATTATCTCTGCTTTCCCGCGCGCCGTCCTTGAATAGAGGTGTACCTCTTGCTACTTTCCATTTACTTGGAAAGAAACCCTTAACGATAGATAGATTGAACAATCTTGTTAAAGGCTCTGAAAACACCGATGAAACCAACTTTAACACTTTGACGCTTATCGCATCAGGTCCTGATGCCTTTGACAAAGGTAATTTGTCAATTAGCTTTTGAGTCTCCTCAACAGTTATTTGGGGTATATTAAATTGGGTTACAAAATTACCAATCTTGGATGAAATATAATCTTCAATCTTCTTCGAATCAAACTGGTTTGTGGGTGAGGGTGCTGCATTTTGCAATTCCTGAGCAACGTTCACAAAAAACTCATTAAGCATAGTTACCATATGTAGCTATGGCATCCGTTTCTGCAGTACTATCTTCTCTTTTCAATTTCTCTTTTTAATTCGACTTTTGTGTTTTGGTAAGAGATTTTAACGCTTTCCATATCCCCTTTGGATTTCCTTTGTTTTCATCAATGGAATCTTAATTGTACATAGCGGCGTTTAGATTTCTTTATCAAATTTGTCACATAACATTTCGTTCCTTTGTATCTTGCCCAATCGTCCGGAGAATTTGATTTGCGTGCCATTTTAAGTTCATGGTCACGCTTTACGCTTATTAATTGCACTAATAATGTCATTGTTTATCCAAGCCGGTTGTTTAGATTTTTTGACACGCTTTTGTTTTGACGGTAGGTGAACTTTCAATGCATCATTTAAAATTAATTCCAATGCGTCAAGGACATCATCAACTTCATCAAAAACAAAGGCGCTGTCCCAATGGGAGTCATGAAGCAAGGCTTCGGTATTCAGTTTCTTAAAGTCAAGATAATTTATAATCTTGTGTCTTGATTCCTTCTTTAACGCCTATACATTGCTGTCCTAATGATAAGATATCTGCGAATGGTTTTTAGTGGAAAAGAAGGAATACTTTGGTATTTTTTTGTTTTCTTCGACCAAATGTGTACCTCCCTTGCTCGATATGTACCGATAAATATTGGACCTCGATCTTTTTGTACAGATCTCGCCCTATATGGTCTCGGTCTGTACAAAAAGACCTTGGTCCGATATTTCTCTGTACAGACCTCGCGTTCGGTTAATAGGATTATTAACAGTATTATTAACAACATAAACTGGAGTAAATGATGACCATATCGTTTATATTTTTGTGTTATCAATATCCGTACATATATCAATGATAGACAACCACCCCGATACTTAATTTCCGTAACCCACTTGATGCGGACATATATAAAACTCGACCAAAGATTTGAGATTCAAGCACACAAGACTACTAAACTCGGGGCGCGGGAACTGGTAACAAATACAACATGCGTCGAGAATAGTGTGCTGTTACACACACTGGGCAATCATTCACATTTATGTCGTATATTCGTTTAATTTTTACTCACTCTAACATTTCATTTCGATAAAATACTGAAGAAAAGTTTATCATTGAATGAGCTCATAATGCAACCATCTAATATTTCACATGCGCTTCCAAAACGAGAACCATCACGCTAATGTTTTCAAAACCATCAATTCAACACATTCATTGAATAGCTGATGGGTTGCAACCAAAGGCCCACCAGCAGTGCCCCCAGTGACTTTATCATATTCTCAGCATTCTATATTATGTAATGGCTTCATGCTCTAACACGATCTGTTCTAAAATAGAGAATGTTTCAAAATTTTACTCGCTATTCGATATATATATATATATATATATATATATATATATATATATATATATATATATATATATATATATATATATATATATATATATATATAGTTCAATTATTGAACTTAGAACTTGCAACCCCAGAAGGTTTTACAAATAGTAAGACTAAAGTTAAAAATTATGGATATATAGAGCTATGTACATTAAAACAAAAATCAAATAAGTTCTGATTTACATGCAGGGCCGTAGCCAGACGCGGTAATTGGGGGGAGGGTGTATATCCACATATTCATGTTCACATACCGTAAAATGTTCATATACCGCTTTCAAGAAATCCGTCGGGCAGAACACGAATATATGAATATACCCCC